CAACCTGCAATATAGCGGCTCCTGTATTCTTTATTCTTTTCAACTGTCATTAAAATGGGATCTATTTCAGACTCCGAGTCGATAATTTGCGTCTTTTTGGTAACGTGACCACGTCTTCCTCCCCCGTTCGTTGGGGCAAAGCAACATTAAAATTACTTTAAAATTCGATTTCGAAATCTAGACTTTTTAATTTAGTGCACGTCCTGTTGTTGTTGTAGCAGCTGCTTACAATTGGCTTATCTTCAATCGTTGTCGTTAAGCTCAACTAATTGTAGACCTCGGAAACTTGTTGCTTCGATGCGGTCGGATCAAAGGAAGAAATGTGTAAGTTGAGTTGGGTTAAGGGCGCATGTAAAGAGGTGGTTGTTGACATAAACATGAGCATAACATGTGGGACCCTTATTGGAACCATCAGGGTTTTACTTTCGAATAAAATTTGCATCTTCGCTGTGTTCGCTACCGGCCTCTCCGTTCGGTTAACCAGCGGTACAAACCTTTGTATATACCGTACCAGGGCATATCATTTTAATAATGGTTTTGGCTGCAGCCGCCCCTGCTATGTCCTTACTTGTCTACTTGTTTTATCTGCCGTAATACAACTAGGTGGCCCTGTAATTCTAGTTGAGCTGGAATTGAGGAGCAATTTTCGTTTTCTACCCATAAATGATTTGCGTGTAGCGGAGAAAGGAGTCGTCCGCTCGGGCCGGACTCCGCTGAAACTGGGTTACACTAAGTACCCCGAGAATTCGGCCGATATCAGTAGCGGCTGAAAGGAAATCAGTGAGTTTTAACGCAGAAATACACTCGGAGGTTTGCGAATGCCTGTCGAGGGGCCATAGAAATTTTTTTTTACGTTTTTTACTTTTTTTTTATGTTAGGTTGAACCGGGCTTGAACCCAGGCCCTGCGGAGCGCACTTCTAACCACTACACTACAGCAGCCACCATAAAGTCAGAGAATTGCATTAGCTATGCGTCTTTATAGTGCGCCGCTTATTCCATGACAGACACACGCTTGCAGGCGCACCTCATGGTGAACAGACGCTACGGACTTCAGTGGACCCTTAAACCCTATACGCCGGTTACAGAAAGATTACCACAAGCGCTTATAGCAAACATCAATGGCAACGTTGACATGACAATGACATTGATGGATTACTTTCCAACTGGATATTTTCGTACTATACAGAAGTATGTATGTACATAAGTTGGTAAGTATGCACGTGGATGCTGGTTATTTGTGGACAGCCCCGGAACAGACTAACTATTTTTTGTTGGTTTAGGTTTTTAGCACAAATATGCAAATGAGTCACTAGTATGCAAAGTTCGGCGATGCTGAAGGAAGAGATGGTTGGATATTTTAGATGGAATCGAATGAAGAAACAACAGCTCGAATGTGCATAGCAAATTAGTCCTTTGTGAAACGATGCACTGTTAACACCCCATGAGAATTTTTTCGTATCTTAGGGGAGTGGAAAAATGCGCTGCTTTAAGCGTATTTTAATGCATTTTTTTTTTTTTAAGTTACACTTTTCGTTAAGGCCGTGTTTTATAAGAGTACTTGTAAAAACAACTCTTTTATTATTTGCGCTCGAATAAACTTAATTACCATTTATCATTGCATTTTAAAAATTCATCAATACTTCTGTGTGACATGTCAAAGAAAACACAATTCGAATACAAAACAAAAAAATAAAATTTGTGTGCAAGAAAATAAAATATAAACATGCCGGCACGTGCACTTATTGCTGCAACTTTATATTCTGCTGGCAGAAAAATTGTGCGTGTGCAAGCCAATAAGGAAAAGCAAACAATAACGAAGTGCACACGAGAAAGAAGAAAAACATGCACACGCCGAATGCACAGGAATAACAGAAAGATAGCGGTGAAAAAAAGAAAACACCACGATATGAAATCGAAAAAAAATATGTGAAAGGAAAAGTAGCATTAAATAAAATACAAAAAAAAAATAGCTGAACGATTAAAATACTTAGTTTGAAGTGGGTGTGCGTGTGTGAAAGTAGGTATTTCAAATGTATGTGAATATACATATGTATGTATGTTCATATGTATATTAGGCTGGTTCACAAAAACAAGTCCGCAATTCGCCCCTGGTTTAAGAAGAGTTTGGTTTCATAAAAATGAAAGTGGTCTACTTCAAGCTAAGAACGAAGACTCGTGTTGTAAAACTTATCTCAGTAACGGTGGGTTAAGCGGCGTTAGTGACGGAATTGGTTGGTTAGAAAATGCGTTCTTACTGTGGGCTCTAATATTGATACTGAATTAAAGAAACTTGTTCAGCAACGGTTTTCCTTCATCTACATATTCACCTTTACAAGGATATAAGGAAAGGTGAATATGTAGATAAAAATATAATGAAAGGATAGGCGTTTAGAAGAAAATCGAGATAGAAATAAACATATGTAAAGACAAAGATCAAGATGAAAAAAAAATGTAAAGACAGTTGTATAATACTAAAAAAACCTTTTCAGTTATATATCACACTTTGAAATTGAGTCGCAAATAAAAAATTAAAAAATTTTGCTTATAGCTGTTTTTAGTTTTTTATAATTCCAAAACCCTCTCAAAGTAATATTGTAAAATTTTTTTGTATGGGGACCAACCCAGCCTAATGTACATATGCACATGCGTGTGTGCATGCCGATGTATGCTATTTTTCTTTCATTTTCGTTAACTGGTAACTCAATCATTTTTATGAAAATGGAAAAATTGCGGCAACATGTTCCTTTATACTCTATGTATGTACTAGTGTTCGTGTTTGTGTGTGTTTTTGCATGCTTTGGCGAAAAAAATTCAGTTAACAGTTAGGTAATTGAAATGGCGTCAAGTAAAAGGGTGAAAATATTTTTTTACGAGTTGCAAATTACTTAGTGCAAGTTAAAATTGGTTGGCATTTTGAATAACGTGAACATTTTTTCTATCGTTTTCAAAGCACTTCTAACATGTTTTGCATTTGAAATGGCTATCGTCTATTAATTGAAACATGCTATATAATTTTACAAAATTGGGTATTTTTTATCCGTCCAACTATATATATATATGTATATTAAGTACATATGTGTGTAATATATGTACTAACATTGTATACCGTAAGCGGTGTGAAGGTTATTTTTATACTTGTAGGTACATACATACAAACATACATACATCCATATGTACACAGTTAGCATTTAAACTAAGGGCTACCAAATCCATTAACATTACCATATTGTTGGTCCTATAAAACTTCCAAGGATTAATAAACACGCGGACACCGACAACAGAAAAGTTGCTACCCATTTGGCAAAACGAGGCTTTCTAGGTAGGCGTATTTCTAATTTTTTGTGCCGATACGTCTACCGTACTCCTTTTACCTTTGTACCTTTTTGTTTAGGCAACTTATAACACCTAGTGCCTACACCCCAAGCAACTGGTACCAAACCGGATATAAAACACGTTTTTTTTCCATAAAATATGTAGAGAAGTGTATAACTTTGCTACAGACACGCGCCGGCACACCTGCGGAGACTATTTCCTTTATTTGCCTTCCGTTGCTTTGAAAACATACCTTCTTGTCTGCCCTCGAATGACAAGGCTATTGAAAGATTTTCTTAAACAGCTTGTAAAGAGAATGTCTAAATTAAAAACGCCCTTCCCAAAAGAGTTTATTCCAAAGCGCTCCCCATGTTTCCGCCTGGGTCCTACACTGCTTAGTTGTAAATAAAGCTGGGTTTGTTTGCTTTTTTTTGTTCCTTTTTCCTTTGGCGTTTTTTGTTTCTATTTTTATTTTTTTTTTTAACATTATCGAGTTTTAATTCACACCATCCACATACTTACAGCGTCAAACATTTATTCAACCCAGTTCTCAACTCTGATAATTTTTTAAAACCTCCACAAGTATTAGTAGCTGATTAAGCCGTCAAATGACTGACGATGCTGATTGAAGGAATCGAAATTGTGAAAACCCCCCGAATATCAGTATGCAGCGAACTTAAACGAACTTAAAAGAGGACGACATAACTGGCTTAGACTCGACTTAGATGCCGACAACGATACGATTACATCACGCCAATCTGGGCCTTCCGGTTCAGGGTGCCTCGATAATCCAAAGCATTTTCCTCCACTACAGTGTAATATGAATGCACATGTTGAAATAGAGAGGGAATTTCTTACTCGAAAAAATAAATAAATCTTTGATTAAGAATATCCCAACTTACTGATTTTTTTAGAATTGGGTTGCGTATGGTTTTTATCAGAACATCGTTAAAATAATTAGAATACATTTTCTTGTTTTTTTTAAGATAGTTGAAAGTTCGAGGATATTATTAGTTAGCTCTTGATAAAAATATAGCATTTGTAAGGTACATTTTTCAATTTAAGCAAATACATATGTAAAAATAATTTAGTGTAAATAAATTCTGTAGTTATTGTTTAAGCATACCTTTCAAATGATTTGATTCTATTGATACAACCGAAATATAACCATCGAGCTTTTGTAAATAGAATCAATGGAAATTTTCGCAAGCCCTCTAATTTAACTTTCTGACCCGACAGAATTTTGGCAAAACCGCTGGCCAGGATTGTATTCACCTGTACTACAAATAAATTGAGCAACATGCTCTTCTGCCAAATGACTTTTCAAAATACCCACAACGCCCACCAAAAATTAATTTCGACAATTTCTAACGAGCTGCGTTTAGTACTCATACTTGTACATACACAAATACCTACGCGGAAGCTTGTATTTAGGGCTTTCATATTTGTTTGTTTGCTTGTTATTAAAGTTTTCAAATTCTCCAGCTCTCGTGTGTGCATCGCACAAATTTCATCGTTCTGCGGTTTTTCATTAACTACTCCAGACAAATTAAAATTAGTCTGCTACCAAATTCCCGAATTTGCTACAGCCGAACATATTCCGAAAATGGAAATACCAATACCAATACCAATACCAACACATAAAAACGTATGCAGAGCTTAACAGCTTAAAGCCACTTCAACTCACCCAAAACTTTCACCTCGACAGTACGTTGCGCTGTGTAGTTGTGTTTATTGCGGGCGATGCAAGTATAGGTACCCTGATCTGCGGTACGTTGCACATTCTCGATGAGTAAGGTGCCGTTCTGAACACGCTGTCATATATTTGTGGGCAATCTGACGCCATCTGTAATGCGAAAATGTTAGTGAATGAGTATGGGAGTAGTACACACAAGCATAAAAATAAAACAAAAATGTACTTTTAAAATACATATAAACATTATAAATACATATAAACATTGTTTAAATGTACATTAGTGTTAGGATGAGCGATAATTAGGGTTTTTAAAAACTAGTTTTTCCCAGAACGGCAAATAATTTTTACCCACAAACTTTCCAGGGGCTTTCGTATCAAATTTTAACCCTTGCCTCAGAGTTTTTTTACACCAGTTCGGGGCTGGTAGCATCGGTGGACGTGTTGCAGCATAAGAGTTAAACGGCTGACCATCTGGTTCACTTCCGCTACATGTTAGAGGTGGGAGTAACATCAGCTGACCAGCCAAAGTCCTACCGACCCACAAGTCTTACGTCTTTTGTACTAAAAGCCCTGGAAAGAATCGCAGACAGGCATATAATGGACCATGTAAGGAAACTTTTTGTACAGAAACCAATGCTTATCTTCCAGAAAAATCTACCATCCATGCTCTTTAGAGTCTAACTAGGAAAACTGAGAAGTCGACGGAGAACAAAGAGGATGCTTCTTGGAAATGCAGTAGTTTGAGTACTGTTTTCTTTGCGCGTTGTTTTGTGTTAGTGCCGATAAAAAGCTTTTGAATGGCGATTTTAGCGACGCGATTGCTCAGAAGAATCCAGACCAAAATATAAGGACGAAGATCGCTGTCCAGCACCCGACTAACAAGCAAAAAGTCTCCGCATATTCGGACACAAATCGCTGTTGGCAGTTAAGACTTTAAAGTTGTGAAGGACTTTGTCCAGCAGGATGTAGCATAAATACCACCAACAGCGTCAGACAGGAAATCAGGCGATGAATAACTCATGCCAGCAGGTGATACTTTGGGCTCGGTGAGTAATTGGAAAGCAGATTCATCTCGCCAAACTAAAATACAAGTCTGTTAACATGTCCTTTCGCAGAAATATGGTAGATACAAAGATTAGAACACTTTGGGGGCTTTCGAGAAAGCTATTCTATGCAAGACCTATGCCAGTGTTCGCGTGGGCGACGGGCGCCCCAGAACATGGGTGACGAAATTTACGATCTTTTCAACGACATGGACATCCTTCGACTCTTCTATCCATGGTTGGATAACGAATTAAATGGCGCCCTGATCAAAATGGAAAAATCAAGGGCAGAATGACTTGTCTGCAGTCTGTATGAACAACTGGTGCAGATTCGCAAAGGTCTCGGCTCAAACCAATAAACGGCTTTAGTGCCAAATAAGAAGAAGAGAAGGAAGAAGAAGAAGAAGAAGTATTTTGGGACACCCTATATAACAGATATAACCGTTTCCGCTGCTAATAAATAAGTCGTCACGATCACCTTAGTAGTAGAATTTGCCTACGCAAACTTACATGACTCGATATGTAAAACCCAGGACGGGCCCTCGCCACATGCTGTATGCTCTTCAACAACATGCAACAGCCCTATTCAGCGGAAATGCCCTCAGAAAGAGAATTTCGTTTCCCCAATTGACGCTGACTGGAAACCGAGCATATGCCGTGACCTGTCAGTAACTTACCTACCACATGCAAATCAACTTTGTACATATATATATGCTCGCTGTGTGCGCAAATTAATAAATACATATGAACATGAATGCTTACCTTTCTCTATGATGATGCTGTCGATAGGATATCCTGCCACGGGACATTTCAAAAAAAATGTCTTTCCCGCCACTGCAGATAGTTTTGGCATCATGCGCACGTATGGCATACCTACGAACAGATGAGGAAATATAGAGGGAAGAGTAAAGTGATGAAGAATGTTCTGTTGAGTAAATGCTAGCTAAACAAACACATAAAAATATAAAATTCAGCGTAAAAGTCAGACTTTCATTTCAGCCAATGCTCCAAATGCATAAAAATATACGTACATATGTTTGTATGTGTACATATTTTAGCAATCCTGTCAATCAGTCTGTACTATATTGTTTGTCTCTGCGCTTTTGGCAGTTAGGGTATTTACTTTTTTGTTGTTACTTTTGATATGTCTCCGCTGTTGTGCGCTGACGTGCACATATTCATACATAAACGGGCACGTATGTTTCATACCCATGCTAATGTCTGTACTATGTGCCTATGTACGCGGAGGCAGCTCAACTCACCGTAAATGTTTAAACGAGCCGAATGCGATGCTTCACCTGCCCGCGAAATGGCCTTACACTCATATTCACCGCCATCCTCCGATTTAACCGCAGATATATTAACATGGCTTATAACATCGCCGAACATTGTGACATATTGGCCAATCATGAGTCGATCGTTCTGTTCGGAAGATGCAAAAAAATGTTATATAGGATTTAGTGTACCTTCAAAATATTTATAGTAAAGAATTTAAATTTTAATAGCTGTTTGCTTTTAACATAATTAGGGTTTCTTCATATTCTAGTGTCTGTATTTTATGAATAATTTTGATGTACATATTTCGGCTAGCATCTTAGCCAACAGAATCGTTTAGAATCTTTCTGAGAGTATATATAAGATTTAAATAGGACAGACATTGAATAGACAAGAGTGACGAGGTCTCATGCAGCAGCTGAAGCTCTTCAACTGCAGTTGGTGGTTATTGGGCTCCAAAACGGTATTTATAGGGCGAGTGTTAGTGAAGGCGGTGACGCATTCTCTGTGGATGCCGTTACAAGCACCGTTTCCGTCGGGCTCAATGGTTTTGTAGGTACCGTTCGGACCGCGTCCGTGCATTCTAAAGTGCCTGGGATGCGCCCTACCTCCCTCTCTCTTTGGCCTTATCCACCAAAGTGTGAACTTCGAGCTAAAGTAGCTCCGTGTCGCAGGTCTGAACGACATGGGCCATGTGGTCCACTTCCAGCGTGTCCTAAGACCTGTACAGTTCCTTAGGGGAGTCCATCCGATGCAATTGTTGCACCTAATCGAAGTGGAATTCGGATGGATTAATCCATGAGTATGCAGCAGATGTATGTCACTTGTGCTGAGTTGGGCCCAACGTCAGCCTTTAGAAGAATGATGTTGAGTAACCTTACTATAAGGCGTTGCTTCAGAGAGAAAAAGTCCGAGTCATTCGGCAATATGCACCGGAACCAATTGCAGGTGTACTTACGTAGGTGCGCATAATAGCTGAAATACAATGCCGGCGAACGGCGAACTCACCACAGCGAAATTCGAGCTGTCAAAATTAGAACACCCGCACGCGTATGAAATTGAACACAGCCAAAGCGAAATGCGAAGTTCGCTTGGCGGCGTTTCATGGCGATAGATTTATTTCTATCGCCCTGCTGGGCGATGACAGCTGTGCGTGCCAAAGGTGGCCGTATTTCTTTTTTGCTTTCAAAGTTTTAAAAGAAAACAACCTAAACACGATTTTTTTTTGTTGTTTGAAAAATATAGTTATGGATTCGTTACATCTGTCTTGAAACAAATTATTTGTAATAATCTTTCTTTGTTTTACATTTATATTTGTTATCATTTCCTCATTTCTAAATATGGTTTAGTTTTGTCTAAATATGGTCACCCAAATTATAAAGGCGACCAAATGGGATCAACTGTTTTCGCTACCGCTCTAATTCTGTTTAAGTAGGCGAAATAGCTGGGCGAACGGTGAACGACAGCATCGCCCAATTCGGCGAAGTTTGCCGTTCGCCGGTATTGTATTTCAAGCATAACTCAGCCAAGGATACTTTGCACTCAACCTTTCTTCTCACTCGTGAGCGAGCAAGGTACGAGATGAGGTAACCAATAAGGGTGGAGGAGCTTTGGGTCACGACAGAGAGAGAGAGAGAGAGAGAGAGAGAAGGAGAGAAATAACTACATGGTAGGATCACTCCGACTTGTTCTAGTGATGAATACTAAATATTCGTGTTGTACATATTTGCCGAAAAGTTGTACCTAAAATTACATATACGTACCTAAACAGTAAACATGTACTTTTATGTGCATATATTTTTGTCACTTGGTGGACTGCACCTTCCATCTGTACCATAACAACTTTTGGACTTACATGAAACAATATTTTTCTACGTTCCAAATGTACCTAAAATAATTGTGATTACGTTTAAATTTAAGAAGCTGAAGAGTGAGTGCAATTCAATCTAGTTTTACATCACTATTTCGCACCACTTGTTCGGTTCTTCATCTTTTTCTTCAAAATTATTCTTTACACTCTCATTCTCAAAATAATGTGACGTCACACCCAGTTGCTCTCAGCTCGATTGGCGCAATCTTCTATTCTATCATTCTTGTGTTCACCAGGAGGATCAGCTTGAAGCCACAGAATGTAGTTGTGCGTTATTGGGCTTTGGACCCACCACTTAAAAACCTCTTCCTCTTCCTTCTAGGAGTATTAGAGAGAACGATTTTGCGGAATATCTACTGGCGCGACTGAGCGACGTGCTGTATGAGCTTTACAACGCCATATACAGAGTTCGCCGGATTAAATACAGCCCCCCTCCTCCCCTGCGATGGAAAAATTTGGCTTTACTTGGCATTTTTCAATCGACGTCAGTTGGCCAAGAAGAGAAACGAAATGTGAGTCTACAAGAAATCATCTTTACATTGCTTTCGGACCGGGAGCAAACGGTCTGTCTTTAATAGTTCTTTTTAAATATTATTGCCACAAATTAAACCGAAAATCTAGCCTTAAACTCTTTTTATTTGCGTTTTAGAACTTTCACATAAATTTTACGTCCAAATTATGTTTGTATTAGAAATTCCTCAGAGTCAAAGTTTGCCTTTATATTTTCCTTCTTGCAGCCTAGTCCATTGCTTAATCGCATATGTGAAAAAGGGTTACAGCAAAAGCAATGATGTGGCAATAATAATAAGAATGTATGGCCAGTAGTAGTGGTACATAGTTTCAGTTTTCCTAATATCTGCTCCCACCAACGGTGCTGTTGATGCTTCAGCCTCGGCTTGGCTGCTGTCGAAGAACATGGACGCAAGGCACCAGAGCAACCAGCGCCACAGCCACAACTTCAACATTCTTCGCAATTGTTCAGTACGTAGAAATCACTATGAAATGGTTCGCATGGTTGCAATGGCATTTGCGTAGCAATTTTTGTTTATGCGAGTATGTTAGACGGCGATGATAGCTTTTGCAAAGTTGTGGCATAGAGGAATAGTTATAAATATGTCTTTACATACATACTAAAGATCTGCATGGGAGGTCATTTCGCTTATCTCGATTGTTCCGGCTTTCTAATAGATTAACAATGCGATATTTACAAACACAAGACGCACTGAACGTCCAAATAGTATTTTCGTGTGAGTTTGTGCAGACCTTTACTGCGTACATTCACATGTAGAAGGTTGTGGCGATGACGTTTGAAGATGATGGCGTTGGTGAATGCGAAAGCGCACAACTCTGGCGATGACTTTAATTTGCGTATCCTCTCGTGCATAACATCAAAATGCGACGAGTTATGCAAAATACGCATACCCGTCGGTTGTCCCAACAGACGTCAGTTGCTGGTAGAGCATCAAAAACAATATAAAATCTAAAAGAAAGCGCATATGCAAAGCAGTAACGCTTTAGAGAAGCGTGGAGAGAAACAGCAACAGCAACCGACAACCAACAACAGCAACTGGCGGAGCTAGTAGAAAGCATAGAGGCAGCAGCATCAGCCGCAGCCAAAGGATAGCCAACTAAAACACGATGTGCCGCAACTATGCTCAGACCCCATTGCTGTGTGGGCGAGTGTGTGTCGACGTGGTTGAGTATGTGTTGAAGTTGGTAATGAAATTCGAAAATATTTCAAGCATTGCTATGCTCAAGCACATGCCACAAGTATGTGGCGGCACCTCCAGTGGTTTCTAATGCTTTTACTATTGCTCTTCACACATATCCTTCTTCATTCGAAACATAAAATTTGCTACGCCAGAAATGGTATCTGTGTGTGTGTGTTTGTCTGTGAATATTTTCTACAATGTGTCATATTCAAGCTTTGTCGCGTAGATGCCTGACTAAAAGCTGCTTACATACATATGTACGTTTGCTCCTACCAGCAAACAAACAAACCTAGAATTTTCTCAAATGGAAAAATTGAATTTGAAATATGAAGACATTTCCAGAAGGAGGAACAGCAGCATTAGCAGCAGCAAATGACACAGACGAGCTGTCTTCGTTGCGAGCACACTTGACTGACAGGTAAGTAATCGAGTTAATATTTTTAATCCTTTGCTAATGAACAGCTGTAGCACAATACTGTTGAGAATGGAGCGCGCTATTTGCTATGCTTTTTCATTTTTCATTTAACACCACATTTCAGTTATGCATGTAAATGTGAATTTTATTAATCTAAAGTTGCGTACGGGTAAGATATATGTGTGCATATCGCACATGATCTGCAAAAGTGACAAAACTCAAAATTTGGTATTTTTGAAATCATGCATTAAAAATGTACACAGAGCTTTTATTTACCTTTCAGCAAAAGTTGGTGCAAATTTTTGTTATAATTTGTTGAAAAACTCTAAAGTAAAGTCTCCCCTGCCCATACGATTAGCATGTGCTACGAAATAGTTTTTCGCATTTTCTGACGTACGTTTAATTTTGAGTTCTGTCACTTTTGAAGATCGTGTGTGATATATAAATATGCATGAATGTAAGTGCTTGCTATGTATATGAGTTAATTCCCAAAACTGATGACTTTTTCCCACTTCAGCGCCACGGCGTTGAAACTTTAGCTAACTCGAGTTGAAATTTTCCAGTTCAGTGAATGCGAAATTATTCCTAAGTAAATATGTATTTACATATTTGACGCATTAATATAACTACTTACATTTGGTAGAGGAAATCCGTCTAAGTGCCAGACAATTTTTGGTGTTGGATTGCCACTTGCGCTGCATTTCAACGATACTGATGGGCCGGGTTGTATAGTTTGTTCGATGAATTTGTAAATCAGTTGCGGTGCTACCTCTGTAAGAGAGCGTTTATGTTATATAGAAGAAAATGTATTTGTCGTAAAAGTTAGGAAGCAATTAGGGGCATTATTTCAATTGACAGAATGAAAAGGGCAACTCTACAAAGGTTAAATAGCTGTTGTGCTCCTATAGTGCAAAAACCATGTGATTTGCAAATGACCTAAGATATTTCCACAGGGGTAAGCATCTTAAAAGTTTCCAAGCACTGCCGGCTGAGGATAACATACAGTGTATGGCTTTGAAACAGGCGGTTCAGGAATGTTTTCTTTTCTCTCTTCTTGAAATTTTCTACAGAAATTGCGAGGCGTTTCCTCACACGTTGAGCGTGCCTACCCATCAGGCATTGTACTACAATAAGGGAGTTTAAGACGTTGATCTACAGATAGAGTGACTCCCATTATGCTCAGTTCAAATGCAGGTGCAATGTGTTGCCATTTGCTATCTTAGTTCCGGTACGAAGTTGCGAAGCTCACTCGGGATCAAACCATTTCTTTAACGCAATGAGCTTTCAGCACTATCTTACACTCTTACACAAATATAAATCTTCGCTATCTCCACAAGGTCTGTAGAGATGGTCTTCCGAGCGTATGTAATCGCATTCTACTAAGTACTGGGCAGTGGCTGATAAGGTGTTGTACACTTTTATCTTTTTCTTTGCATCTACAGCCTCGGCAATAGTTCGGCTCACTCTCCCTATCAAGGGATGTACGCTAAATAAACAGTGACATGTAAGTACTCATTCTATTTTAAACCTAAAAGTACATAGTTAGTCTAGCAGTTTAATAGGGGGAGAGGTTTCTCCGGCGCTCGTTTGCAGCTTGTCTTGTAATGTTCTTAGCAGGTAGTTCCAAAGGTGGTTAGTCACACTGGTGTATGGCACAGAAGCATGAACAATGAAAATATCTGATGGGGCAAGTCTTGCAGTTTTCTAGAGAACAATTCTGCGACAGATTTACAGGCCTTTGCGCATGGTCGACGACGAATTCCGAAAACGATAAAACGATGTATGTATGAGCTTTAAAACAATGCGAATTAAAATACCGTGGCTACTCTGGATTGGTAATTTCGTACGAATGAACAGAAATGTTTCCGCTCTTAAAGTACCCAACGCGGGTCAGTGGGCACAGAAGGGAAAGTACTGGCGATATATATCGAAGTGGTCCATAACTAGTTTCAAAAGAATCCCCAAATAGACGTGAACTAACTCGGAATAGCCCTGACCAGGTCTCGAAATGATGCCAAACTAGTCCCGAAATTATACCAAACAAATATGGAAATGTTCCTGAAATAGTCCTGGAACGCGCTGAAATGATCCTCAGAACTATACGTAAACTTATCCCGTTTATGTACACAATAATCAATTACAGATTTTCTGCTGGGTTAAAAAAAGCTGCTAAAAATGTTCGACTGGGTTAACGAAAATTTTACCCAGATCGCAGAAATCAACATTTATAAAATAATGAGATTTATTGAGCGAGATAACATTAAAGAGTTTATCACCCATAGATACTTGTTTCATTTTTCCTAAAAAGCAAACTTTTAAATGAAATTATTGACTCACCTCCAAGTCGTAGTTCGGCGGTACCTTGCGCAGATTCCAGATCATTCTTCACAATGCACTGGTACATGCCCTTGTCCTCTTTGGTAATGGACGTAATGCGAATATGTTCTGTGGACAGCAATCGAACACGCGCGCCGGAGCGCAGTGGTTGGCCATCTTTCAGCCAAATGATGCTTTGTTTTGGGAATCCCGAAATGCTGCACATCTAAAATAGAAAACGCATATGCAGACCCGTGCAAAATATCACTAATTAGACGCAATTAAAGGCATGTGAACGAGGAGTTTTCTATTTTTATTGACATTTTAATGGATTTTACAAATAACTGCTCCCGGTCAGCAACTTACCAAATTTGCAGTTTTTCCCAAATTCACTGTCTGTATGGTGGGCTGTATGCTGGCAGTGAGCTGCGATGTAACAGCAATTTGTACTTCCAAAGTTTCGCTGCCCTCCGAGTTGGTGGCTGTGCAGAAGAACGCCCCACTCTCGGACCGATCGACTGCGGTAATAATTAGAGTGCCTTCTTTAATTTTAGCGCGTCCCGTCGCCAGCAGATGTTGTATGGATTCCTCGTTATTTGGACGTTTCGTATGCCAGCTGAAAGTAATTTGCAGTAGATTATTAATACATAAATATGCAAGCGAAGTTTTTTATTTATACACAAGAATGGAAGTGGCTAAAAAGCAGCTAAATGCATGTAGTAAATTCCAGAGCTTCATAAGCTTATTTTATTAATATTTGGCACACAAGTTCTATAAGAGTTGGTTAACTTTGAAGATTTTTTCCTTTTCGTTGCATTTAAGCAAACCACTTAGGCTAATGCGCAATTAAGTGGAAAATCTGAGCGACCCACTTCACTTTATGCAAAATCATTCACATAAGTCACAATCAAGTATTTACATACGTACATGCAATGTACTTGCACAATTTATTCCTTACCCGTATATAATAACCCAGCAGCTAAAATTATAGGAATCTTGCAAAATAACTAGTCCCATATGACCTACTTTATAATGAACTAAAAACTGGTTTACCTACGGGAAAGGCATTTGCCACGGAAACTATAGCTCAATGCCAGCTCGCCCGAAATGGTATGAACTCATTCTTATGGAGGGAAACTTTAGTTACACCGACGTCATACATATCAATAACCATAAATATTAAGCGATGGCTGATTGCGATTTCTTGGATGTTGCCATGTGACAGCTCCCCGACTGTGGACCTCGGTGGTCCTTGTTCAGTTTGCTGCTGTTAATGACAACACTGACTATATTTCTGTTTTAGCGCATCGTCTTTCTGATCGGTATAAAAGGGTACAGCGCACAGAGAAGCTGAGACGGCAAGCGTGAGAATCAAAAAAACCAAGCTTCTAAGTATGCCAGCGAAGTCTTGTTGTGACGTCTTAGTGTCCGACCAAACTCTTAAGACTGTAAGGAATTTCACATACCTCCGCATTGAAGTTTCCCCCAGCGGCGACGCTGATGAAGAAATTAACCACAGAATAAGTAAAGTCAAAGCGGCCTTTGTCATGATTTACACCTTGGAGCGAATCAACAAGCTGAGGTTCAGCTTACGCTTTTCAAATCCAGTGTCCATTTGTAGGCGTCTGCAAGTTTTCGTAAACGGATGTCCCAAGCCGATAAACGGAAGTAAGACTCACATAAAATGTGGACATATCTAGTAGACTAAAAGCCTGAAAAAAGTAGCCCAACGCGGCCTCCACGGCACTCAGCCATTTTGCGGCCCAACCAAGCGATACACAGCAGAAGGTATGATGATTCTCAGGTTGGAGCCTGATGGCGTATGTCAAAGGGCAAAAGACAATCTGAGTGATTTATAACTCCCAACCGAGTAGCCTTTGAACGACTGCTTGGCTTTAGCCGGAAGAGTTTAATAACTAATATTGAAAGCTGAGAAATCATATTTAAAGAATGGACATTTCTGTTGAGATGCCCTACAGGTTCAGTGGATTGGTGCAGCAAATTAGCACATAAGTAATATTTTATTGCCCACGTAAAATTGGCCTAAAACTTGAATCCATCTATAAACCGCAAAAATGACAACCTCTAGGATGATAAGATTCATAAATTAGTTGGAAGTGATCACTCAATGAATAGCACAATAGATCTATGAAGCTCGATCGCAGACCTAGCATGCTCTAATAACAATACTAACAAATAAATAAAATAAAATAAACTTTTTAATATACCACGCTTTTATAAATGGACTAAAAATTAGAAAATAATATATCTCAGTCCCATAGAATTTGTTTTGTTTTTGAAAAAAAAAAAACACAAAATCAAACAAAAGAGATAGCGAAATAAATGTAACGGTGCTTTAAAGATTTTGAGATGGGGACTTCAGGAAAAATAGTATCGCTTTCGACTTTCAAAAATAGGTGGTTTAAATTCTTTTCCGTTTTTTTTTTGCCTGAAACCAGTATGCAATGAAGTTTTTAAAAGGTTTTAAACCCGAATTACTAATGTTCTTACATCAAGGAATTCATTTACTTTGTTGCAAGAGTCGAAAAAGCATTTCATTTTACAGAAGTTTTACAAAACCAATCAAGTTTAAAAGTCGTTTTTAGGTAAAAAAGACAAAAAATCAAAAATTTTACTTGTAAAAGTCACTTTAAAAGTCTCATTAAATGTAAAATTACTTTCATTCCAAGACCGACCTTCAAAAGTAAAATCTTAGAATTTTAATCCTTTGACATGAGAACAGTGAACTTAAAATATATACATATATCTTAAACCGATTTTTTTGTTTTTGCGACCATGGAAATGAATTCCCTGATGCAAGAACAGCAAAAATATCTGTAGAAAAAGTTCATTGCATACTGGTTTCGGGAAAAAATTAAAATCTTCAGTATATGAAGGTCACTGGCGTTTGAACAGCCATAAAGCACTGGGCGTTTCATATTAGTGGAGCAAAAAATTCGGGCAGAAAATTCGCCTTGGTATCGGGTTTCGATACGAGTATTTTTTTTTATCCCTGCTCAGTACTTGGTTCAAAAGTATTGATACCAAAATTGCTTGGTATCGAACGAAAAGTATCGAGTATTTACTTGTATTTACTGGTATAGTTTCACCCCTAAATGGAAGTGTTTTGACTTCAGTTTGGGTGGATTGAGGTGAGGGCCTGGGAATCCACCATCAAGTGCAATATGACCATGGAAATACAATGCCGGCGAACGGCGAACTCACCACAGCGAAATTCCCGCTGTCAAAATTGGAACACCCGCCGGCATATGAAATTAAACATAACCAAAGCAAAATGTGAAGTTTGCTCGGCGGCGTTTCGTGGCGATAGGTTTATTTCTATCGCTCTGCTGGAAGATGATGGCAGTACATGCCAAAGATGGCCGTATGTTTTTTTGCTTTCAAATATTTAGAAAAAAAAACAACACGAATTATTTTTGTAGGTTGAAAAATACAGTGATCGATTCGTTAAATCTGGCTTAAAATAAAATAATTTATAATAATTCCCCCTTGTCTTTTGTTTATATTTGTTATCATTTCATCATTTCTAAATATGGTTTCGTTTTTCAAAATATGGTCACCTAAATTATAAGTGCGACGAAATTGTATCAGCTGTTTTCGCTACCGCTCTAATCCTGTTAAAGTAGGCGAAATAGCAGGGCGAACTGTGAACGACGACATCGTCCAATTTGGCGAACTTCACCGTTGGTCGGGTATTGTGTTTCAATAAAGACAAAGGTTGAAAAATACTCGATACCACAGCTTTGTCAATTTTATTAGCCATCTTTGATATCAGGAAAAAAAATTGCATTTACGCTTCGGTGTCATATTTTGTAGTCCCCGAAAAACGAATAGAGTTTTTTAAAATTAAATGCATCGAACTATAGAACCAATTCCACCAGAATAAGAAAGGATGTCTGCCTCCGTAATATAGAAAATGAAATTTTATTGCATCGACTCTCAACATGTTGCTCAAGAAGGTAGAAATGTAGCAAGACAAAATCTCTGAGGACCTATTTTTTGACAAAGCTTTCATTGAGCTCACCAACCTTCGCCATCCTTGCCAAGATGAAATTGAAACCGAAGCAAAAGGTTTTCAGGAGTTAGAGGAAGGCAGCATGCCGTATCAGCTGTCCAAATAACGCCGCCACTGCTGTAAATTATAATTTCAAAAGAATACGCACGTTTTCTTATTTTATCATGTGGTTAAAGCAAAGTCGTTTCCCTACAAAATATTAAGAATACTGGATGACAACAGAAGCTAGGTCTGTCAAGCATGCAAATAGTGTTTATAGCTAAGACCTTGAATTAATGGGTTTGTAGGAGTGTTATCCACTGTGCTCGTATAGCGACGACGTTAAATTTGTCATCGAGATTTTTTCCTTAGTCTTTATTTTCTGTTGGTGCATACAGTAAGATGAGTTCAGTAACTGAACTTCAGTTACAATTTAACCCATATAATATAGTGCATGTGAGCTGCACTCCTCTCAAATGAGGTGGCCAAAAAGAAGTTGCTTCTTATGTTATTAGCTTCTGGCTGTCAGTGCAAAGAAAGCTCTGCAATACTTTATTTAAATCAAATGTTGCCGACGCGATGATATTTGTGCAAACATCGTCAGCATAAGCACTTACCCAATGAACGTTCTAAGAAAATTTAGTGTCAGTGGTAAGGGCTAAGGGCCTACAGTAGTGGTCGCTATTGTTACAGGCTGTTGTTGCTGTTTCGCTGCCTAGTTGCCATGGCATATTAAAATATTGCATGTCAATGCACTCGAGCGTATCTACTCTTGTATGGTTGTAGTGCCAACGTACGTACGCTCCACAAACTCCACCCAGGGAGCAGTCTCAACACACGTTTAGAGCAAATGAAAACACACCGCTATTTCGAACACACACACACAGGTGCATACATTCTCCTCAAACAAGCCATTACTCATTTTCGGTATGTTACGTATACGCCAGCGTGGCCACTAGCGCCTAACCACCGCCGCATTGCTTTGCAGTGGATATCAGGGATGCCAACTCTCTTAGGGCTAATTCCCCGAAATTCCTGAAAAAAAATTCCCTACAATGAAATTTCCCCGAAATGAATTTTGCTAGATATTTAAAGAACTTCATGCTAATTTTCTTTTTATAAAAAAAGCAACAAACAAAAAAGCAAAAAACAAATTCGATGGTTTGGTGACGAAAACGAAACGAGAAAAGAGAGCGTCGAACGAAAACGTGAAAAAAGTCACCGCTATCAGTGTTGCCAGAAAATTTTGAGGCCTACAGCTAAAATCTTCGAACAGCTAAATGTAGCCACACAATTCAGCCAAACAAATTAGCCAAAAATATATTTCTTCAAAAATAGCTAAACAAAATAAATAATTAGATTATTATAACGCAAACAAATATGAACTTAAATATTTACAAACATCAAATTGGGGCATTAAAATATTTTACAATGGCGATTCCAATATTTAAGGCAAAACGTTGTGAACAAAACCCGGCGGTTGGTTATAATTAATATACAAATATAATATATACTCGACCACTTCCTTGAATTTCGTCCTTATAACTTTATAATCTTAAAAAAAAAAAAAATCAATATCCATTCGCCCTCGTAAACCAAAAAAATATATATTTTTAAAAATCCTCAGAATGTTCTCTTTTATTTTTATTGTCATTCTACATTACACTGAATTTTTTAAATTAATTTTTTGAAATAATCATATCTTTGAAATTACAAGGTCCTTTACCAAAACCTGACGTAAGAGAGCAAAACTACAAGCGCAGTTTTACAACATTTTCGTAACTATATTGATTGCTTCGTGTGTATCGAAAATATTTTTGTTTTTGTGTTATCGATATAACAAAACGGGAATAGGCATGCCAAAATAGCTATTTTTGCACTGTTTGATATCCATCAAAATAATAGAACTCTGTGTAAAATTGGCAAAATTATAAAAAAAAAATTTAGCTAAAAACGCTAACGCGATTTAAAAAAGGCTTACAAAATAGCTAAAGCTAAACGCAAATTTCTATAGCTAAACGTCGAAAATAATAAGCTAAATTTAGCTACAAAATAGCTGGCAACACTGGCCGCTATGCACGGTTGCAATTTCTTTAATATTCCCACGGTTGCATGAGGCAATTACGTAATGTTTCGAACCCGTAAAAACAAAATGAGAGACTGGTTTTACAAGTTGTAATTTATAATTGCAATTTTATCAAAGTCATTTGTGTATAGAATTCCCCCAAATCTAGAGCCATTTCCCAATTCTCGCGATAAATTAAAATTCCATCGAAATAGGTGAATTATCCCGCAGGTTGGCATCACTGGTGGATTTATTGTAGTACTCATTTTATTTGACTGCTTGGTTGCTTACGGCTTGACTGTCCCCAGACCAATCGGCATGGTTGCGTATATTTTCCGCCGTCGCTTGCATTTTTGCTTTTTCGTTCCGGTTTTTCATGCATGTCCTTTTACATTTCTCATTTTCTAGATTTTTCACATTGCATTTTATTTTTTCTCGTCTCTTATCGTGCCTTATGCTATTTTTTTTTTCTTGCCTCCTTGCTATTGTTTTATTTATGCCGTTCTGCTTTTTAGTTTTTCTGCTTCTTAATTTTCTGCTCTTTACGTTTTTCGCTTTGTGATGCTACACGTCTGCGGAGTATGTGGAAAGGACATTGGTGGAGGTGCGGAGCATGGGACAGTTACGGCAGTCATGTGTGTTAAGTTGTTTCCCCAGCTTACTCCCACTCATCTCTATTGTGACTTGGTCTGGTCTGCATCGCTTTGTCTCAGTTTGGTTTGACTTGATGCGGCGGCAAGTTTGTACGCGAAAACGACAACTCGCTTCCCCCTTCACACATACGACGAAATTTTTTATTTTCCTTTCCACATACGCATGTGTGAAGGTATGTTTTGTTTGGTGCTGCCATGAAATTGGCGCAGGTGAAAGAAGGCCGTAATGTGAGGTGCATTGGAAGCTGCTGCTTGCCTTCTGCTTTGTTTATATTTTCATGTAAATACTGAGATCCTTCGACATTCAGTTCATTTTCAGTAATTTAAATTTTTGCATAATTATTTCAGTAATTTCTTTCCTTCGGCTTAATTCAGGAAACATTTTTTTTCAACGCAAATACATTTGCTAAAATTTCCTGTTGTCCTACCACATATTCCTTAATTACTCTATAGTTCTCGGTTAGGCTTATCTACGTCTAGTTCCACGAATTTTTTGCTGTTGGTTGATTTTTCCGATAGGGTGAGAGGATAGTGTATTTTGGAATGAATTTCCTTCACCAATTTCCATGGTTAAAGACTAATGGTCTTTAAATGCTTTATAAATCGAAAATTTTTAGGAAATTGTCACTTTATACAGCTTTTCAATTCTACTTAATTTTTTATGAACAAGGCCACAATGCTAGGATAAGAAGCTTTCTCTTAAGAGGCTTACTTTAGCACTTCTTATATTGTTCAATGCGTTACTGCTTAATAGATTTTGGGGGACCAGTAACTACAAGTAAACATATGAAGATATCGTGAACGTACCGCTAATCTTGTGTACCAAATTAAGAGACGGGTTGCTCGTTCACGTCTGTTACGATTCGAGCCCTGATTTTCGATTCGAGAACTACATACATTAAAATTCTAATGTAAAATCAACGTTAGAATGCGATTAGATATCTAACCTCTTTCCCGATATTGAGAGCTAAGTCCCCATTTTGTAGAGCATTCTATAATTCTCGACAGTTTCTCTAATCGTCTTCTAACCTTCTACATTAGAGAAACCAATAAGATTTCTAATCGTTTTCCAATCGTCATCTAATCTAAATGTTTGTTGGGAAGACTGATTCCATCGATCTACCCTTCAACTAGGCATGCTGAGAAAGACTCAATTTCACTGAAGGATCCTGTTTCTTATATCAACACAAGTTAATCAGTCTCTTGAGTGGCTCTACTGGTCAATGCGATACTTTTTTCAGGAGGCGCGAGAGAAACGCCTTACTAAATATATCTCAAGCTTAAGTTTTCGAAAATAAATTACGAAAAATTGTTGATTATCACAAAATAAACCATATCGCCATAAAGACAAATATTTTAAAAATAGTTCTTGGAAAACGCCCATTTTTTTAATCACGTTTTTATAGAGAATTAAACAACGATTACGATGGCATAATCCTTAATCCCTAGTCTTCACTATGCAAATTAACTTCAAAAAGTGCAATTGTTAATAATTAAGTTAGCTTTAGAACAATCTTGACCATCTTATATATAGAAATGTAAAACCGTTTCTTTAGCTTTAAAACGACGTTAAGATGAAGTCTCTACGATGAGTAGTCAGAATCATGAAAAAATGCAAAAAATAGAAAAAAATAAAAAAAATTCTCGAACACTAGTTAGTTCATTTCATATATAGAATCCATAAAAAATTTGAAGCGAATTGGAGACATGACATAGTTTTTTTTAACGAAATCCGTCCCTCTTCAAAGAGAGTGGCTCATATAGAATACATTTATTAAATTTTATAAATTACGAAATAACCTTTTGATTACCAGTAATAACTTCTCTTCAGAAAAAAAAAACTATAGACGCACCGTTACACTTTTAATAGGTAATCGAAGTCGCACAAAAAAAAAACGTTTCTCTGCTTTAGCTTACTGACTTGCATCGACTAGCTAAATTATAACGATTTCTCAATTTTATGTAACTATCATTTGAATGAATGTGACTGGTGGGACACTGAAAATAACTCAATGATGAATTGTAGCCAAAATACTTAATTTCCCCAATTTTTTCTTTGAGGAGTAATATATAAACTATACGCTTTCTTTTTCAATAAATAGTTGGCTAATAAAACCAAGTGTAAAGTAATGCATGAAATAAAAGTTTCCATAGAAAAAAATTACAATTTCTTTTCACTTTTTAATATTTTTCAACAGACTAATGAAATGTAGTCATTGTAAAAGAGGCTACTATAGGACATTTTAATATTTACGTTATTTTCCTCTTTTACATGGAATGACTCTAGGGCTTTTCTATATTGAATTAACGATTTGTAGGTATGTAAATATATATATGTCTACAATAAAATAGATGTAAATAATTACCGATAGACTGGCTTCGGGTTGGCATAGGCCACACATGGCACAACAACAGGATCGCCCAGACGCGCCACTATACTTGTGACCTTTTCATTCATAATCGGTGGCACAAGTTCACGCATTTCTGTGAAAATATACAACGAAAAATAAATACATTATTAACAAATAAAATTGAGAGAAAGTATGGAATTTTGTGCAGAGAAATACATACATACATCTGAATTTATGTACGTGTAAAATAAAAGAGTAACATTCAAAATATGTGTGTGCGTTAAAAACAGTATGTAAATATAATTGAAATTAATATTCATAAACGGCAATTATGTGGCACCGCCAATAAAATGTAAATATTTTTTTATTTTTATTTTTGCCACGATTGCTGTTTATACGAGTAATGCTACTTATGTACCTTATTCATGTATATATAAATGTACATGCATACATGCATACAGTGTTTAAGTGCATTTTAAGCGTTTTAAGTGCACAACACGTTTAGCAAGTGTTCATCTCTGCATACATACATACATACATGTACACCACAAGTACGTTGCTTTCGTAGGTTTTGGAGTTAACGCTAATTAATTTGAAGATATAATTAACACACCGCAACACTGCAAATTCCCTCGCGAAGCTTTGTTCATATTTGCGGATGCACACATGCAGTATTGAGCAAAATATAAGCAATTACTTCATCGAATGCAGCTAGTTTTAAATTCCTAACACAGTTATTTGTCTTAAGTAAATAGAAGCCAATCAACGTCATAACTTTTATACACTTTCTAGCATTCGATTGGGTGCAATTTTTCATAGCATTTTTGGGCTCTAATAGTTTAAAAACAACCGGTCACTAAACTACTGCAATCCACTTTTTTGTTCATCTAGTTACTAGTACATGTATCCATGGGATTCTTCATTAAAGAAGCTCCCTCTACAAAATTGGTGCAGGTAAAAAAAATTTAAATTACGGGTGGTTCTTTTTAAAATCCAATATGACAAGCGAAGGTTTGAGAAATTATTGGATTCACTTGAAGTTTGTTACTCGGTGATTTTTAAGACGGCTGGTTACGAATATGATAAAAAAATTTAGAAATTCAAAATAGCGGATTAAATTTGGCAAATACATTTCTGATAATTCATTCATGCACTCTCCAAAGGTGCATAACACACTTTTTTTTGCTTATTCTTATTGACAGACCTGTACTCTCTCCCTCAAACCGATTTGAAATGAATCCAAAACCAATAAAAAAAAACTGGCACACACAATGTAAATTAAGACAAATATTACAGTTTTACCTAAAACCTCTAGTTTGCATTTTACAGTTATCTTTAGCTTAGTTTGAATGCCTTTTCCTTAATTGGAGTTTATTCAGTAAGTGATTACCAGCAAAAATTTCGTTAATCCGGAAACATAAATTAACATAAATGATTAACAGCGGAGAGGTGAGATCGTAGGGAAAGTGGGGAAAAAATGTGGAGTTTGTGTGAAAAAATTTTACCAAAAGTGTTCCTAAAGGCAAAGGAAATCGGTTTGGTGGTGCAAATTCGATTTAATTCGAAGTTTTTCGAATTTTCATAAATTTTGTTTACTGAAAATTTAAGTTTGTTTGAAAGAATGATTACTCAAATGGAAAAAAAAGATTCAATTGAGCTCACAATAATGTGATTAATTATCCGTATCGCTCTTCTTAGATTCAAAACCAAAAATAAATATAAATAAGAAGAATTTTTTTCTCAAATAAAAAATATTAGAAAAAATCCAAAAATTTATTAAATTGTATCATGTATTTTTCTGTAGTATTAACTAAAATATTAACAAAATTTATATTGAAACTAATTTTTTGGGACGTATAATATGTGAATTAAAATAAAATAAAAAGGCATTAAAAGTTCTATCGAGCCACATTTTCTTGAATTATGTCAACAAATTTCACTTCTACATTTGGTCAGTTTTTCTGATATAATCAAGACGCATTTGACATGAAATGAACAGCTGTATTTTGAGCCCGGTTTGGATGTCAGTAATTTTGGCATAGTAAATACCTCTCAATGTGAGTTAATACTTAACCCTTTAATCCGTTCGTTACATTCTCTTGTATATTTTTAATTTATTTCATGCATCGAAAATATCGATGTTTGTTTAGGATGCATCGTCATGTATATAGCGATGTATTTTCTTGACTTTCATCTCTAAGACAAATGTGGTGCCACACACAGTGATGCCAAATTTAGTCGGAAGAAAAAAAATTCAGAGTTGTTTTTTTGTAAATAAACACGAAATAAATTGTTGTTGTTGGATTGACTACAAATCGTTTTGAGAGACAGAGAATAAAGATGTACCAATAAGAATATACAACATAAGCATGAAAGTTATTGGAACTTTTAAATATATCGGCGTCTGAAATAAAGAGTGTCACCTATGTTACAGTTTTGCACGTCACTGTATTTATGTACATTAGAGCGTATCGGAAAAAAGGCCACGGTACACCCCTTACTCTAAAATATTTTTGCAATGCCATTCTGAAAAAAGTACTTTTGTTTGTTTTTGGCCGAATGTTGGGTTCGCGATTTAATATTTTTCATTATATGTATGTATCTTCGACGTTTAAAGTCGAATCTCGACGAAGAATTATTTCTTTTGCAAACCTCATCGACCTCAGTTATCCCTTTCTAGTACTTACCCTCTTATCAATTTAAAGTAACACCCTCACGTCAGTAAATTTTAGATCATCAAAAATCATTAAACTTTCGCTAAGTAGAACTATTAAAAAACAAACAATTAATTCGGATTGTAAGTGTCACTGAACCCCTAGATTGGACCAAAAAGAGTTTGTTTTTCAAAATTGCCTTGCAAAACACTCGTACTTCAGACTAAGGGTGTACGGCGAATGTTGTTTTTTGCTTGTAAGGTGGTACGATCTAATGTACCTGCAAACATACATACAAACATATCTATGCCGTGTGATGAGGTCAAGCATGCATGGCTTTTGCTATAATTCATTCTCTACATATTGTTGCTGTTGTTGTTGTATGTATTTGTAGCTTAACTTACCAGTCAATTGAATTTTGCCCATATTGCTGCTTACAACAGAGTCCTGCGTTAGCTTGTGATGGGTGCGGCAGCGATAAACTTTATGCGCATCGGTGCGTGTGATGTTGTAAACCAGAAGTTCGCCGGTCGGTAGCATATGATTTTTGCCATCTAAAAGCACACATAGAAGCAGAAACAGAAAAAGAAGCAAAAACAAGGATATCAAAATAAACTTCGAGAAATAAAACAAAATTGGCAAAACAGTTACGCTTCAGCGCAAATGTTGAGTGCAATATGTATATTTTCTTGTTTATTTTAGGTTTTAGTTTTTTTTTTTTATATATGTTTATTCGTTGTCTAACATCTTGTTTTTGTTCTTAATAACATAGTTCAAAATGCACACTCGTGCATGTGTGTGTAAGCGGACGTATTTAAATAGAGAGGGGAGAGTGAAAATAATAAAGTTTTCAACAAGGATATGTGTACTGAGATGGTAGAATGACTGCTTGGGTAGTGGGTTGGTGTCAATCAAAATTTACAAGTTCCTGAAAAAAAACAAAACACCAAAAACATGGTTGGCCAAGTTGAAGCCCAGGAGTGCGGAAAAGAGGAAGAGAAACCTGTAAGTTAATGAAGCTGCAGTTGACTTTTGTTGGTTCATTGATACTTGACGATGTATTATTTTTGGTAGGTAGCGAAGAATTAAATAGTACGGTTAAAGAAATAAGCTTGGGCTTCGCTGTGATATTTGCGTCTAATTGAATAACCTTACTTCGCCGAGGTGATTTCTTGTGACAAAATACGCACCCCGGTTTCCAAGATCGTTATTGAAAATATCTGTATGCATTTAGTTTAAGTAGACAATATTCAACCTATTTGATTAAAAAGAGGAAAAATATGATGTACCTTATCATTCCAAACCACAATAGTAATTTTTGTGATAGTTATTTAACATGATATATTCAAAATTGGACTCTTATGCCGAATTTGCAATTGGCATTGAAATGACAAAAAATATATGCCATTAAAAAAAATGCCATGTGGAAATGAACTTAATTTTTTACGTAATGACACGCATATTTTTTAATGCCCAACTTGGTCATTTTTGCCATTTAATGCCTACTGGAAATATAGATTTAGTAAAGCTCTAAAGTGAATGAAACATACTTTTTATTTCTTTTGTTTTATGTTAGTTAAAAATTTAAATCTATACTATCTACTAGCTTTTACCCGCAGCTTCGCGCGTGTTAAGTTCGGTTTAACTTTATGATTGCTAACAAGAAAATACATAAATAAATGTCACAATGTGTTTATGGTCAGAAGGCTCCAGAACATGTTCAATTCGCCGAATTTCAACTGAATTTGGCACTTCAATAAAAAAAAACAACTAACAATACTTTGCCATATACACATAGATTTTTTAAAAATATTTTTGCTATTATTTTAAAAAATATGCCTGAATAAAAAAAACCTTTTTTTTTAGAAATATTTTCGAAATAAAGCCTTTTGAAATATCTTTTGTTTGACTTGCCATCATTTTGTAATATTCCAATTTACATGTGGATTAAATTTAATTTGTGTTTTATACAAGTGGTCACTCTCTTCAAAAATGTTTTCAAGCCACAAAACTTTCTTGAACCTCTTTCGAATAAAATTCATATTCTAATACTCTATTTAACTTGTGGAAAATGGGATTTGACTTTTTAGCAAGTGGCAACTCTTTTCAAAATAAATCCTTCATAAAGATCAGTCGTTTGCCGCCTTTATTGTAAAAGTTCATTCGGCGTTCAACTTTATAATATTAGCAAGATTACATTTAACTTCCTAATAAAATTTCTAACCTGGGGCAACCCTCATATAGTCTAAGATCCGACAAGAGCGTGGGTTGGCTGAAAAATCCAGGCCAGAATATTTTTAATTAAATATTAAAAAATTATCATTATTTTTTTTTTAATTTGGTACTTATTTGTTGAATGAAAAATTTATATAACATTCGAAAAAATCAAGCCTATATAATGCGAAAACGTAGGGTTGTAAAAATAGCCTGGCTTACATATCGGGTTGGCAGGTATGAACAGGTAGGTAATACAAGTAATTTTCACGCATTCTATAGGTTTTATGCTATCTTTTGGTATATATCGACACTAGACACGAATAAAGGCTCGAGCTCAAAATGCGTGAAAAAGCGACAAACATACACACTCACTCACTCACAAACTTTCATATTAGTAGGATTTATTTTAACTTTTTGAGCCGGTGGTATTCTTAAAGAATATTTTACTCAAAGCTTACTAAAACCTCTACCGTTTGACACTTATAATTAAATATTTAATTTAACTTGTTGATAAAAATGATTTAAAATTTCTAAACGGGTCGTAAATCTATGAAAAAATATTTTCAAAAGAAAAAAATCTTAGCCCTCTCTCGTTTGATACTCATATTAAAAAAGTATCGAGGAAGATGGCATTTCTGATTCTGAGGCACCAGAATGAGGAAGTGGCAAGCAGAATGCACAGAAACCATTGGATCGAAGAAGGCAATACCTTTTTTCATTTGGTGGGTTGCACATGCCAAAAACGATTATTCGACAAGCACAGCTCGCGTTTTGTGCACAATTAGTGAAATGTTATGAATAATTGAACTTTCTAATGATCAAACATACACTCTGCACACTCGGATGCACACTCCTACACATGTGTAATGATTTTTAATTTGCCACATAACTAACAAAATAACAACCAAATTATGCATATCGGTTCGTGGATGGGCCGACCACTAGCAGATTCCTACTATGGCTTTCAGCGGGCGTCTAAGTTTAAATTTAAAATACCAGCTTACCTCCCTCCAGCGAAGGATATATGTTGAAATTTGGTTCCTGTAGCCATGATGTCACCGTTACATACTCCTTTACGAACGACGGTATATTGCACTTAATCAATACATTGCTGCCAATAAAACCGCCTGGATTTTGCACTTCCGGCTCATAGCGTTGATTTACAACTACAAATTACATGAAAATTGAAAAGAGAGAAAAACGTTTGGAAATGCATTAATTAGTGAAATTTCACTAAAAGCGTTTAGAGCTTTGTAAAAAAATACATATGTATGCGCAATTTGGTTTTTAATATTTATAGTTTCTAACTAATTTTCGCTTTATACATAAATTAATTTTGAAAGCTCTTTAATGGCGGAAGCGTATAATAAAAATAACTTTTACAATGCGCTGACAGGTTAGGTAAATTTTCCGAAAAGTATGCACGCTAAGTTGACCAAATGTACATATACTGTATACTTTAGGCTTTAGACTGGTTCAAAAAGAAAAAATCGACTATTTCTTTTTTTCAAAATCCCTAATGAAATATTTTCGGGACAGTGAAAAAAGTAGCCTTTAAAAAGCACGGCCCTTAATTTTAAGAATTAAGCCATTTCTGCTCTCACGGCCTCAAATATCAGAAATTTTTTTCTAGGAAATTTTATAATTTTTAAGTTTCTTTGGAAATAACGTAATTTAGGTTAAATTATTCACTAATCAAGCTTAACATAGTTTAAAAAGTACATTTTTATCGCTTGGAAAAATCACTGACACCGTCAACAAAAAGTCGATTTTTTTAAACCAGTCTAATGTAGATACTCGCATTTAAATATGTATTTCTGTATTTGTACAAATGCTGTGTAAAAGTTAATTTTACCACTTAAATGGTAGAGTCATGTGTAGTACATATTAAGGATGTGGAATTTTCGACATCCGCGGATGGAAGTAAATGAAAAAAAAAACGAAAAGTTGGCAATTCTACTTAAATTTATGAATTGCAGCATTTTATTGAATAAAATGTAATGTTGCTGCCTTTCCAGGTTCCAGCCTTTTTCTTAAAGGGTCGTAAATAAGACCTATGGCCCTAAATAACTGCTCGCTCGGAACAATGCTGGATAAGCCCATACAAGTACATATCTGAGTAAGAAACTTAAAAATATTTAAAAGTTGCTTCGATCGATATCCCACTAGTTGAGTGAACTTTGAGTTATGTTAATTCTCTTTTATGTGACGATTCTAGAATCATTTCGAAATTTCTTTTAAATACCGCTTACTAGCCGAATCAGATGTTGCAGGTTTTTCTGTACCCTTTTCAAAGAACTGCCCATTCTCATTCTTTTGGCTGCTTCGAAATTTGGTTTCTTGTTTTTAATATTTTTATTTAATTTTTCAGTTTTTCTTCTGCGACTGGTCCGAAAATATTGTGCTTACAACGGAGGACCTAAATGGATGGATATAGCAAATAAATTCGCCATTTTACAGGGATCGAAATTTCGAAGAAAATTCTGTTTTCAAAGCCGTGCCTGCCAGCCGAATTGGATCAGAATATTGTTCTTTTTTAAATCATTCAGTTTTTTGTAAACATTTAAATTTCTGGAATCTTGGATCATATGCGGGTTTCAGAGGTGCTTAATTAACTTCTTGCAAAATTGGGACCATGTCAAAGTCGGTAATGCAAGGACTCAGCGCATTTTCTACCCTTAAAATTATATACATAACGTATGTATGTGATGTATCCTCACCATTAGCGATAGCAAAGTCACGTGGTCTGTCTTCACCTTTAGTTAGAGCCTTATTATTGATCTTATCTTTTGTACTATCATTCAATTGTCAATTTAAAAATGTCAATTATTTATATTATTTCCCAGATCCAGAAGGTACATTTTTCTTGAATAAAGATTGGTTAATAAAGATATGTTAATTTAATGTAGTAATTGTGACGCAAATCACAAAATCATATTTAAATATGTACATACAGGATAGTTGTATTCAATTCTGCAAGACACTCACGAAAGTAGAGATGGGAATGTATGTCGGTGGTATTTGTTTGGGTATTTTCAGGACTCTACCCTTTTTGGAATTATTTAAGAACTTTTTTTATGGTTTTCCGATAACTTTCGGCAGTTTTCGGGACTTTCTGATATTTTCGGTATTATTTCGAAGTTTCTCTGATTATTTCAGTATATTGGGGACTTCTCGGGATTACATTTATTTGCAGTATTTAATGAATCCAAAAATATTTAGTAAGTAGTTTTCGTTAGGTAAAAGTAACTTAATTTAATTTAAAACAGGCCGTGTTCAGAAATGCATCAAACGGAAGCATAAGACTTTCTTATGTCTAAATAATAATTGAATGAAATTTCAGGTATACGGGTAATAGGAAGAAGAATTTTCAATCCAGACGCTCGTGGATCCAGACACAACGTCGTTTTACAATAATATAAACATAAAGTACGTAGGTTAGGTACGTAGGTAAGGTTGAGTCTGGTAGAACACATAGAGCAAATCATCGCCACGGCTTTGCTGGTACCCACGAACAACATGTGCACACTGATTATTCAAGCAAATCATCGTAAGTCATGAAGCTCATTTTCACCTCAATAGCTTCGTTCATCGTCATAATTGCAATATTCGGAGTTCAGAGAAATATGCTTGTCGGAAAAAAAATCCATCCACTTGAATCATACTTTTTGAAAACAAAGAAAACTTCGAGAAATAGTACATATTTTTCGGTAAAGTTGTGGCAATAATTTGCCGAAGTGATATTCCAAACATAACTCATTCCTTGTATTTTATGTAAAACTAAAAAAGAAATACTACGGTGAAAAAACTGTGTTTTTATTTTAATCTTGCGTAACTAAATTATGGGACACCCTTTAGATGGGCGTTTCCCACGCCAGCAATAACTTATTTCCACTAAAGCCTCACTCAGATTTACCTTGGTCGAATATACGAGTATGTATGTAGGTACACATCTAAATAACTTGAAACGATTTTTGAGGAAATTCGAGGTTAGGCTAACCCAAAAAAAAAAGCCGTTAAGAGAGATAATGCCTCACACATTGCTAAGGCTCAAAAACATTTCCCATAATATTAAGAAAAATTACTTTAAATTTTTTAAATTTTTAGCAAAAACAAGCGAACATCAGCCTCTTTCAATTTTTTGAAGTTATAAGGTTTTAAATACCCTAACATAAATACGTTAAAAGCTGGAGTCATATTCGACTTTAGGAATGAAAACAGATTAATTCGAACTGGAATTGTGAAATAAAATTTTTTAACCTATTTTTATTTTAACCCAACCAATGCATTGGCCTACAAAATAGTCTTGCATATGCACATAGAAGTGAGTAAGATATATCTACATACATATAATTGCAAAATGTTGGCAGAAATTCTTTAAGCTTAACTGCTTTGGAGAAAATTTGTTGATAGGGGTTTGAAAACAATCCCACTCCTCAATCTCTACTTAGTATATTATGCCTCTTGAATCTGCTTTACCACAACCTAAGTGGAATTATTACTTTTTGTTTCGGGTTTTGTATTTATTTTGCATTTTTCATTAAAACTTAACAATAGAATTTTCTCCAAACAGTCGAGAGCATAAACCTAACAAGTTTTGCAACATTTTTCAAAAATTATGCCAATGCCAAATGCCAAAATTTTATATTGCAAGTGGTTATACTACAAGAACAAAGCCATATATGTATGTACATATGTATGCCTATGTACCGGCATGCGTTTATATATAAATATTAGTGTGTCTGAATGTAAATACATACATGAGTAATAGCCCAGTCATGTATACTTGGCGTTGCATGAGAGTTGTCACATAAGAAATCTGCTAAATGAGCTTTGGGTGTAAGCGATTACTCAACGCACAGCATTACATATGTATGTAGAAGTATGATGGGTTTTGATTTCTACGTAAAAATGGGCTTGCAGTGCAAACTATGCGTAACTGAGCTATATGTAAATATTGATATATGTGCACATTACGTAGATACACTGTACAACAAAAGTTGGACAAAGGAGATGATCTCTGTTTACACTGGATCGCAAATTTTAGTTTGGTTTTTGTTCGCCAGACGCCTATGGATACGTTTTCGAAATATTTCCAATTTACCGTTATTCGGCTTAAAACAAAAAGTGGTTCCGCTTAATCACGCATATCTTACAGACCTATGTAAAAATCTGGAAATTAGATACGTCAAATCAAAGCTAATAAAATTCTCCATAAACTACGTATACATTATTTCCTTTTTGGTTGTTGTTGTTTCCGACAGGGTGGGTTTATGATGTATTTTGGAACGAATTTCCGTCATACCTTGTCAAATTTGGTTTGGAGACAAACCGGTTTCAGCGTTGTGCCATCTTCAGTGTAATTTTTCGTTCGACAATGCCGAAACCGGTTTGTCTCCAAACCAAATTTTTTAAGGGATGACGGGAATTCGTTCCAAAATACAACATATACATCACTTTATGATGAGACTGACAGTTTCTGAGAAATTAATTAACAATTCCAGTTATTTTTTATTTTTTAATGAAAAAATCAAACTTAAACAGAAGAATAATTTAAAAAATAAAAGGTTCTGTGCCAAATTTTTGCATTTGTGCTAAAGCCTGTTCTGTTACAAAAAAAAACTCAAGTTATTGATAAAGAAAATCGATGGATAAATAAGAAATAATGAGCAGTCAAATGGAAATGCGCAAAGATTTTTTGTAAAAAAAAATCAACGAGACGCGCAACGATGCGACCAGTTCAACGTAGTGTTCGTCGATGTTCAACAAACATGCAATGTCATTCCCATCGATTATCCGGGAAAAGGTTGACTGATCTCCGTGAAATAGCATGTATTTTTTCTGAGTTGTTGGCCAGATTTGACACTGATTTTAAGCAAAAAGCAAAAACGCATTCGGCGTAGAAGACAATGCATGAAATAAGTTAGAAACTACTCCATTTTTTCGCACAATCTCAAAATACATATATCACATTGCGACTATTTTCTATTTCAAAACCTTAAGAAATCGCTCAGTGGTGAGAGACTTTGGCCTATAAAGAGACTTTCAAAATTTTGTACCACATTTTCAATGAAACAAGGGCCATTGATACAGTTTAAGAACAATGCCAGGAGTTATGACAAAGTAAATAGTCACGCGTCTGAGCTAGAAACGTTTGCTGACAGTG